AGGACCCTATCTTTAGTTTTAATTGAAGAGATAATTGAAAATGAGTCACATTGCCTAAGCCTGAGAGCCAATATTGTATTAGGTCTGGCACCAGACATATAATAGTGAGACCTGGTGTGATGAACCATAAACTTGGTGCGACGTGACAGAAGACCATTCATATCAGCCCTTGTCTTGGGAAATATGGATCTCATGATCATTTCTAATTGAGATGCTACTTTTCATCAGAAATCTTCTGACGAGATTCACAAGCCAAACCACTGCCGAGAGCAACCATGGCATCACGAAAGAAGCCCTTAACAGTCATCCAACAGTAGTAGGCTGGGTCATCAGTTGAGCCCGTATAAATAGAAATAAATTCTTCAAGACTAAGGGTCAAATAAGCTATAAATTTGGAATTTTGAAGCAGAAATGTATTACATTTCCAACACAAGCCCCGAGGAGTTAAAGATGGCACAGCCGACTGGAGGACAGCACACTTGTGATCAGATAAAGAAGAAGAAAGCAGAGAAGCATTAAAAACAACAAGTACAAGAGTGCAAGAAACAAAGATGTAATCTATGCAAGACTGTGACTTGAAGCGAGGAGAGAAAAAAAGTATTCTCTGGTGGAAGGGTTAAACAAAATGAGTCAACCAAATAGAGGTCCTCCACAAATTTACACAAGGGACGGGTGGAGAGGGGTAGAGAGATTTATCCAGGACAAGGTTGTGGATGGCATTGGCATCAGTTCCAATAACAAGCTCAAATTCCTGAAATTTAAGAATATAGTTAGAGAGATCCAGGAAGAATGAGCCATGTGGGGGGGTGGGAGCATAAGCAGCAACAACAGACATTCCTGCCCTCCAGGTTGGAAAGAATATAACAGAACCTGCCATCACAATCTCCTCCCGAACTAAGAATACAAATTTGAACAGCCCACCTGACCAGTATGACCACCCCACATCTCCGAAAGGAAGCCGATAAGGAGGAAACAACCCTATAGAACTTGGAGGCTGCCTGTAATGCATCCCGCCATAGTAAATGGGTCTCTATTAACTTTATACATGTTAAGATCGATGCCCTGCATTTTCAAAAAATCAGACACAATGGACCATTTTTCTGGGGTGTTCAGAGTTGTAACATTCCAAGAGACTATATTTACATTACCCATAATCTAAATTAAAAAAATGGACAGCAATATGTCTCAGGGAAACTCCCCCCCGCCCCCAACCCTATTCAGACCACCATCGGAGAATGCGCGGACATGGCACCCAAAGCCAAGCTGCAAAATGAACTAACTCTGCGCACAAGTCCCTCACTGCTCTCTAAGTAATGATGGTAGAAAAAAAGACAGAACCTATACCACCGTTACTGCCCTGTGTAAAAAACAGAAAAGAGCCAGTGGAGAGAGGCCAGTACAGGACTGATATGCACGTTTCCTGTTCCAAGTTAGAACTCTTTCTGTATATTCTGCACCAACTGGATTTGGTTTATTTAATGACGCAGAGGCTCACCCAACCAATAGTGTGTTGCTGTAGTCCAGTCTAGAAGTTATTCAATTCAATTAATTTTTATATAGCAAGAGTCACCCAAAGGCACTTTACATGGGTGTATTGTGATATATTGAATGGGAGGTATTTTCTGCAAAAAATAAAATGAAAATGATAAAATGAATATACAATCTCCACTTTTGCCATTAGTCTATGCACAAAAATCCTGCCAACATGAAAATTAAAATGAAATAGCACCATTTGCATTTTAATTTTCTACTCATATATGAGTCAGATGTGAAAAATTCAAAATAAAAATTAAAAAACCTTTTCGTTTTTTCATTTTCCAATTTGACTTTTCAAACGAATCGGAAGCTGCAAATAAGTAGCTAACTGAAGCCGCATGTAACTTGCCATTAACGTGCCATTAGTTTGCGCAACACGGGTGCAAGAAACACAACATCAACGGAATCAGCAAACGAACAAAGAAAGCACAGCAGTGATCCATAACTCCGCCCACTGGCCCGCTTCAGTGTACACTCACCTAAAGGATTATTAGGAACACCTGTTCAATTTCTCATTAATGCAATTATCTAATCAACCAGTCACATGGCAGTTGCTTCAATGCATTTAGGGGTGTGGTCCTGGTCAAGACAATCTCCTGAACTCCAAA